AACAAAGTCATCCTGATCCATCGAGGATATCAAACCTCCATGACCTGCCAACATTACTCAGCATTATGTCACTGCAGGGACACTGTGTGTTGTCTGTTATGTATGTTTTGGAGGTGGCAGAGTTCATCGGTGCCGAGGGGTTGGTCTTAGGTCAGCAACAGTCTCAGAGCAGGAAGCCCCGTGGTGTGATCTTAGCGGATAAAACAGCTTTGGAGAAGGAGACATTTGTAGTAAATTATGGACAATATATATATAACAGTGGTTCTCAAAGTTTCTATGCAACTATATTATATTAACAATGATAATGAGAGTTATGAAGTTTTTAGCCTTTTTGTTTCAGGAATTGCAATTTTTGGATTTCACTGGTGTCAATAATTTTGAGTGGTCATCAGGACAAAAATATGCAGTATATTTGTACAAAACCTTTGACATAACAGTGTCTTTTAAAGCACAGTGGAGTAGAACAGCACTAGAACTTTGGTGTAGCTTATGTCTGTACTGTACAGGGAAGTCAGCAGGAAGCAGGTCCACGTCCACCATGTGTGACAGACAGATCTGAACCTGTGGTCGGTTTGAAAAGGAAATTTAGCTGACAGATCAGTTTAGAGCAGCAACTCCTGAACTTTACAAGGACACAATAGTTCCAGAGGCTAGGGCTGTGGTGTTTTGTTAGGCGTATTAAAAAGCAGGCAACGTAAAAATACATCGCAGTGACTAATTTTAAGATTATTTTCAAAATAATCTGTGAATTAAACCAAATGCTTGTGGTGATGAGTCCATTCATCACACAGAAGCTTTATTTCAAAAATGATTAAAATATACTGAACGTTCTTATGTGATGGATACATATATTTTACACAGTGTTAAACGTCAGCTATAATGTTGGTATCACATCATTAGCTGGTTGCCAGTATTAGCATTGTTTTTTTATGTTAGAGCTATACAGTTAATAAGCTATGGTTTAATGATGAGACTTCAATACATTTGGATTAATACAGTCAACTGTTTTCCTATTTACAGTACTATTTACATTGGCAGTGATAACAGCACAACTATGAAGATTGAGGCTGGTTGTAAGTGCTACATTTAAAGTCTCTCCTCCATTTCTACACGCCCTAGAACCTGAATGTTTATGATGAGTTCAGTGCCTTTGGATTTTACCGTTTATCAAAAAGATTTTACTCTGTTAAAGCTGGGGTAGGGAACATAGAACCAGGATTTAGAGGGAAAATACCTGCACATATAAGAATTTCTTTGCAATACACTGTGTCAGTGTAACATCTTGGTAATAATGATGTGATGTTTACCTGGTTTGAACAGCAACTGATTTACAATACAGTACATTGTAGTATGTTTTCCACATGTTGAAAGTTTTTGGCTCATAATAGAACGAAGTTCCTATCCCAGGTTGAGAACCTTAGAGAGAAGGAATAAGCTCTGCATTTACACCCCACAGACCCTGTGATGTCACAACAAGTCACATAGCTCCTTTACTGTAGTCTCAGATGAAGGGATACAACTCCATCTCTTTCTTCCAGATGATAGTTCTCAAAATGATCAACAATTTCCATCCAGCGATACTCCATGTTTCCCTTTGACTCTTGAACTTTCCACACTCCACTCAGTGTCCTTTCACAGTTCTCCATCTATAGTTGAGTGGTTCTGACACAACGCCTGGCTCTCCTGTCTCTACGTGGAGCACCAGGAACGTGGGAGTATCGCGGCGACCATCCTCGGGACTTCCTCTTGGATCTACGTGACATGCTTGGGCCTGGGGGGGCTGGTAGTCAGGCCTCCTCAGCTGTGGCGTCGATTCCAGCGTAAGTGAAGTTTTCAAAGAGAGCCATGTTGACATAGGCCTGTGAGATGGAGCAGAAGCTAGTTAGCTGTATGCTAGGTCCACAGTGTTATAAAGTTTTTAAGGAATTACCTATTAACGTACAATTACATCATACAGCTCTTTAGAAGTGAAAGCTATATAAAGGCATTGTGTTATCTGCAAGACGGCTGCCCTCTGTCACCATTTTCTCCTTTTCCATTTGTTTTCCTTTTAAAGAATGGGATGGATCTGGGGTCACATGCTCTGTGTTTACCAGTTTTTTCTACCATCTACTTTTTTCTACTGCATTTCTGGTCTAATAGTGACGCCAAAAAATGGACAAAAGTCGAGACTCCCAACCAGATTGATGGAAAGCTGTCCAAACAACAGCAGTAACAACAGCAACAGGAAGTTCACTTCCATTCACTATAGTGTAGGCGCACATTAGAAAATTCGCAGCATTACCTTCCTGGCCTCCTGCATCCTGTTGAGCTGCACTGAGATTTGGGAGAAAGGTGGTCTCTCATAAGGCCGGTCCCTCCAGCACTGCCTCATCAGCTCATACCTGTACATATAGAGTAACACAGGAGAATGTAGTACAATTAAAACACAGTTAGAATGTACTGGAAGTTATTCATTAGTCACATGATTCTAAAACTTACACTTCATCGTCACAGTTTTTGGGTTTCTCCATTCTGTAGCCCTGTGGAAGCTTTTCATACAGCTCAGCACACGTCATCCCACAGTAAGGTGTTCCACCTGAGACCAGAAGTCCAGAACATAGGAGAGAACTTTTCATCATTCAACATCAACATAATTAAATGTTATTCTGCCTCTATTGGCTTCTAAAAAGTGGAAACAACCCTAGTTGAAATTGTTTTTTTGTTCACTTACCTAGGCTTACAATCTCCCAAAGAAGAACACCGAATGACCAACTGTAAGAGACGTGACACAGGAGAAATGGAAATGTCACAATTACAATTAAACAATTACCATAGAAAACATTTAGAATACTGTTAGTATTTTAATATCAAAAATTGTTTGTTGAAAATAAATATTTTTGTTAATCAATACTAAGCTTTAAAAATACAGAAATGGAAAAATATACTTTAGTGGACCACTCCTGTTTGTTTGATCTGGGCCACAAGGGGGCGCCACCTTTGCAACGAATTGGTCACAAATGTTAAAAAAACAAAGAAACAAAACACAATCCATATCCTAAACGGACAATTTTTGGTAACATCAGGATGTGACAGTTAGCCAAATGCAGCAAATATTTGTCCCAAAATAATTTGGCCACATTTGCATTTAACTGAGCTTTTTATCTGAGCCCTGTATTTGATGCTGTCCTACCGCCAAATTAAATATTAAAACCAGTTGTCACATGAATATTTTTGATAATCATTGTCCAACATGTGCAGGCCTCTGTGAACTGGTCTTATAAAAATATAGTGATATCTTCACATAATCTCCACCACTGTCTCTGACATTCGACAAAGACTTCAAACTTCTTCCGTTAGTTTGCCCCCCCCCGTTCCTCTTCTGGCCCTGTTTTTCTCTGTGTATATATAGACTCAGTTGACGGACCAACGTCTCGGTCTCTCTGTGCTTCTGCCATGTTGTACTCTGGGCTTCCTGTTTCTGCTTATCAGCTGCAGCAGAGCATTGTTATCACTCCTCCGGTGTCAGGAGGATGATTTGTTGTTTTCTGTGGTAAAGGAGGCTTTTGTTTTGTTCATAATCACAACATGACTCTGGCCAAAGCTTTCTCCTAAAAAGAACACTGTGAGCTTGAAGAGTCTACAGTGGTGTAAGAGTGAGGGCCTTTATGGTGAAACTTACACGTCACTCTTGGTGGTGTACACGCTGTAGTTCAGGGATTCGATGGCCATCCATCGCACAGGAAGTCTCCCCTAAAAAAATAAAAAACAATCTCATAATTAGCATTATTTTAAAAATTTGAAATAATAATCTGCACATCCCACATGGCAACACCTAAAAAATCAAAGTAGAACAAAGTGATATTAGAAATTCTCAACCGTTGCTCCACGGCACGTTAGTGTGCCATGTGAGATCATCTGTTTCACTGTGAAAAATTATCCAATTTCAGTTAATTAATCTGAACACTGTTATTTATTTGCTGCAAATGAATAAATATGTACCGTTCATACTTTCCGACCAGTAAATTTGTCAGAGTAATTAGTATTATTCTGATTAACCATTACAATTCCTGGTTTTTATGTTTAAACATTTCATCTGTATGAAAAGCTATTCTTTCTTTTGTTGTGTGACTAATTTGTGCCAGCATTTGATACTTTGATACCAGGAAGCCAAACAAAATGATGTCATCACTCACCATTGTCTTCTTCACGTAAACTTCCTCTCCACGAGACAGACCGAAGTCTGCAATCTTTGCCACGAGATTGTCCCCGACAAGAACATTTCTGGCTGCCAGATCTCTGTGGATGAACTACAGCCAAAAAAGCAGAGAAAGGAATGAAGATGTTTTTTGTGTAATACTGTAATACTGCTGTTTTTAGAGCACAGTTCTGGCCCTTTACCTGTTTGTCACTCAGGTAGTGCATCCCTGTAGCCACGTCCACAGCGAACTGCAGCAGCTGCTGGGAGGTGAGGGTGGAGGCCGTGCCGTGCTCTTTGGCGAAGGCAGGGTCGGTTTCTAACACACGACTCTTCCGTAGAAAGTCCAAGAGGTTTCCGTAGGGAGCGTATTCGATAGCTATGTACAGGTATCCTGGAGAAAACATGGTCAGAAAATGCAGTTTTCAGATCATCTGATTTAAATGATTTATCTTTCATATTCAGATGTTCCATGTCTTTAAACAACACAGTAAACACAGCTGAGTGATGGTCTGCAGGGGCAGGTGCTGGTACAGAGTGAATCAGAGGTTTGTTTATCCAAGCTAATTTGGTTCAGTAACGTCCTCACGGATGTGTTTTTCCAAAGACGGCTTCTCGTCCCTCATATGGTATCAATCTCTGATCCAACACTAGGATTTCACTCATTCACTGCAGGAACACTGGCGTGTCTACAGCTGGAGGAAAGTAGAAACCGAGGCCAAAGTAACCCTACACAAAATCAAATATGTGCTGCGGTACGTACGGACAAATCCAACAAATGTGAACGTGAAAAAGAAAGTGTTTCTGGCAGACGGAGATTATTTAGTTTGGAGTCTTTCAGAGGGTTTCCAGCTGTGGACACAACACCATCTTTAGAGATGAGAGCATCTGTTTGGATTTGAATTAACCTGTTCATTTACTGAGCTTCACTCTGCAGAAGAATGAGGAAATGAAAATATATAAAACCATGATCTGATCAGGGATCAGTGCTGAGGTAGTGGAGGTCAGTGCACTCATTCATGCTACAAAATTACTACAAACACACAAATTAGCCAATCCTATTATAAGTGATTAGTTACAGACTTTGACATATAATATACATGGCCACTAGGTGTCACCCACTCACCTCTGTTTTCACAGGCTCCGATCAGGTTGATAATGTTGGGATGTTGGCCCAGTTTACACAGAACCTCCAGCTCCCCTGCAAAGTCTCTGTGATCGTTCTCTGAGGCAAATTCTGCAAAAAGATGAGTGAGTCAACCCAACACACACACACACAGGCAGACAGCACAATGGTAAACCAAGCTGAGACAGACAGCACAATGGTAAACCAACAAGCTGCACTAAAGTATATATACAAATATGTACATATGTGTACAAATGATATTGATACATAAAGGAATATAAATCTTACCTTTCAGCATCTTGATGGCTGCGCTAATTTTATTGCCGTCCTTTTTGATCATGGCTTTAATCACCTACAAAGAAAAAAGAACTAATGGTCACTTTACTGTAAATGTTTTCACCATAAAGAATAGAATTTTTTTCTAAGACCAATTCCAGAAACAATAACAGTTGTTTTGAAGTGACATATAATCCTCAAACCTCTACTTTGTTGTTCAACCTGATCTGGACAGGACAGTACAGGATATGACAGGACAGAGTACAAAAAAAAAAGTTCAAATGAAATGTTCTTAACCCAATGCCTGATACAGGTTTTGATTTCTAAATTAGTTTATGATCAACCAAATACTTTTTATCAGACGAGACATTTGAAGTTGTCTTGTCTTTTTGCCAGAAAAATAAATATTGAAGTTGATGTGAAATTACATTATCTTTTATCATGACACTTTGATGTATGTATTTATTTATTTTCAAAAGAAAGTAGATGAGAAATCTATAGACCTGTCCAAAGTTGCCTTCTCCAATGACGTCCTCGAACTTGATGTCCTCCCACTCTAGGATCGGGTACGTGAGGGACTCTGGCATGGGCTTGGGCCTCTTCGTCAGCGTCAGGGTTCCTGAGTTAAACTGCAAAATAGTTTCTTCACCCTGAGGATGCACATAGTTTTATGTACTGCAATAAATGCAACTCTAGGCACGCAGGTCCTCCAAACCTAGTCGAGCTGCAGCGCGTAAAACGCTAGTTTCACACACTGACCGGAAATCTTACCGATCCTGACTGGTAGGTGAATGTGCGCCGGCGGTTGAGCAACGTCTTGCGGATAAAGAACAGAGTCAGCAGTGCCAGGAGGATGGTCACACAGGTGACGGTCACCGAACCCACCACTGCCACCAGCAGCTGGTAGTTGTCTCTTGAGGACGGACTAGCCACGCCCTGAGTGGTTGGAGTTAAAATCTGAGAGCCTATGAGCAGAGGGGACAGGAGAGAAACAGGTGACATTTTCACTGCGGGGATGAAGAGGCTGCTTAGGAAAAACAAATGTCCCAGTGTGCTGTAGAAAATGGAGAAAAGTGGAATATTGTCAGCGTATAATTAATGGTTAGGACTTTTTATTCCCACACGTGGAACTATTTAAGCCAATTAAGTGAAAAAAAAAATATATTCAACACCAAAGAATCTATAAAAGACTCACATTAGCCCCAGGTGTACTGGCCTATTTACTCATCCTGCATTGATTTCCATCTTACAGTTTTCTTATTTTCTCTCTAAATGTCCTTTTATATTTGACTGAAAACCTGTGTAAACTCACCATTAAATGTCAAAGACAGACAACAGGCAGCTGAACGTCTGTAGAGTGTAGACTATAGGGTTGGACTAACAAACCTTTAACCAAAGGAACTCCGAGATGAACATCAGTAATGTACTGCTTCAGCAGTGAGTGAAAAGTGAAGCCTCTTCTTACCATCTCCTTGGGTCATGGCCCTCACGAACTTGCTCCACTCCCCCGGCACTTTGGAGAAGGCCCTGACTCTGAACTGGTAGACTGTGCTGGCGTTGAGTGCAGTCACGTCTTTGGTGGTCTTGTTCCCATCATCTGTGTCCACCCACGGGTGAGGGCTCCCCTGGCCCACAGGCTGGTACTCCACGATGTATTTGATGATCCCTCCATTGGAGTTTTCAGGCGGAAGCCACCTCACCTGGACCGCTGACACAGACAGGGGTAGAGCCTGGACGTTTCGTGGAGACGATGGACCTGAGACCAACAGATAATGATGATAATGATGATAATGATGACAAAACCTTAAAGAACATCAGAGAACACATCAAAAAGCATAATTGCAAGTCCCAGGGGACATTTAATGGACATTTTACTTTTCGTGAGTCATGATGACCACACTGAACATAATGGTTTCATGGACACCATCTGCTTCCTATCTGCTTCTCTTGGTCAGTGCTTCCCTCAGATCTTCCTCAGAGAACGTCCTCAGGTTTAGTCACTACCACTGTGTGTGTGCTGGTTTAACTAAAATCACCACTTTTTTTTACTTCCTCCCTAATATTTAGGACAACTGTGCCACATGACCAATCATTACGTCTCATTTCAAGCACGAACAGCTAGGCTTCAAGTTACCCTGACTGCTCGTGCGGAACTGGTACGGCTTTGACGGGGGCCCCTGGCTGCCGCAGTTGATGAGGCGAACCACCACAGTGTATTCCTTCTGCGACTCCAGGTTGTGGAACCTGGTGGAGAGCACATTAAGCAGGGTGGTCTCCTCCTGGAGTTTCTCAGTATGCTGCGTTGGCCCATAGAGCTGCACCAAAAAGCCAGTGGCAGTGACAGCGTAGCTGCCGCTGTTGGCCGGCATACGCCATCGCACTGTGACGTTGCGACCTTCCACGGAACTGATGTCAATTTCAGGTTGAATTGTTGGCTCTGCAGTGACCGAGGACACACAGTTAGTTCTGGTTATTCACATCAGGTAATATATTTTTGTTTTGACTGTATGTTTGTTTAAGTTTGAGTTGAGTGCCTTAGTTTACAACTAACCAAATTCACTGTTGTTACTGCACCTACCAGGACAGTCTGTTTCCATGATGGCGTCTGGCCCTGGTTCGCCCTCTCCTCCCTCTCCAGATCGACTCAGCTGGACACGTACACGATACCGTGTCGAAGGCTTCAGGTTCATCAATGTAATGAGCTCCTTTTCACTGTAGACTGAAGTACAAACACAAAAAGGTGAGGTGGAACCAAGAGAAAGATTTTCTATTTGTATTTTTTTTCATTGATATTTATATTTGTTTTTGCTGATAGACATTGGTCCAGAGAGAATATTTTTGCTTTACCAATGATGGAAGACCAGGAATCTCCATTGTCTACTGGTTTGTACAGGAGCTTAGTGGAGGTAATAGGACCATCTCCGCGGTAGGACACCATCGGCATCACTATCAGCTGCTTACTCCTCTTCTCCATCAGTTTGGGAGCAGAGGTGGGCGCTGGGGGCTCTGGGTGTCAACAAAAAAGAATGAAACTCCCAGATATCACATCTCCATCTCTGTGAAGTACTCAAAGAATCAAAAGAGTTATTTTATGTCACTCTCCATCTTTTCAGACCAACCTTTGATGGTGACGCTGAACCTGCGGGAGTCTTGGCCTCCGCTGGTCGAGACCCTGCACTCCCACATTCCTCCTTGGTCAATGGTCAGACGAGGGATTTGAAACACCGCTGTGCTTTTGTTGGAGTCTGTGATGGTCTGAGACGCCTGAGGTAAAATTACACAATTGTATGAAGAAAACAGAAATCCAATTTCATCGTTCCATTTTTATTGTTCTTCATTGTTATGTTAAGAAGCTCCACAGAGAAATGTCGGGCCTTTAACAGCAAACATTATCCACTCAGCGCTGTACCTTGAGCACAGGGCCGTCCAATTTATTTAGCTCAATTCCGTCATGACCGGGCAGTGGGTTTCCTGTGGCTGAGCATGGGATCTTAGGACTGGAGTTGAGGTTCCACTCCTGGTTGGTGTCTAGCCCCACGATTTGTGGAGCCCAGTCTGAACAACAGGGAGTTTAAATTAAAAAAAAAAAAGTCGTGATGAGACAGAGAAAAATGATGACGCAGGAGAAGGGATTATGATAAATGAGGGAGCTCACTGAGCAGAAAGAAATTGATTTGGGGCAGGTTGTGTGTGTCTGTGTGTGTGTGGTTTTTTTTTATCACAGTGAAACATTCATTGTAGCTATTGCTAATCTACAAAACAGAATCAGTCAAACGATCATAAATATATTGACTACTGAATGTTGGTAAACCTCCAAGACCCGCAGTAAAAACTTAATTCCACAATTGAAATTGAATGTGTGTGTAATGAATTATTTACAAACTGAATATTTCACATTCTTGTATTTCTAAAGACCAGGGGCAGTATTACTGGTCCCCAGTAACAGCTGATGTCAGCCAACCGATCCTTTGTACAAAAAAAGGTTAGGGACCGCAGCAACAAAACAGTAAGAGATTATTAATAGACTACATCTGGTAACCACAGTGTGGGCTGCACATTACAACTCAAGCTCTCCCAAAATATGACTTGAAATTTGTAGATTCTAGTTTAGGTTTTGTCCAAGTGTAGCCCACATTCGGGCTAACTGTTGGAGCTAAGATGACCGAGTGAAGGCAAGTTAGTGAAGTCAGGAGGTCCAAGGTGCAGGATTAAGGCTGCAGACACTGGAGCTCTTTGACTGACCTGTCGTGTCTTTGCTGTAGCTCGGCCAAGATTTGCTTTGTAGTAGTATATTGCATGCTGCTCTGTTTACATATTTTTGGCACCTTAGAAAAACAAGATATTAAAATAAAGCTGTGATACCCACCAGACTTCTCACAGAGATGTCCTCTCCATCCAATGGAACACTGACAACCGAAGAAACGGTTACAAACTCCCCCATTCTGGCAGTTGCAGCTCAGTCTGCAGTCTGGTCCATACGTGTCTGTATCACAGGCTGATGAGAGAAAAAAATAAAACAGATACTCTTATTCCAAAAGTGTTAACGTGTGTTACAAAATTTTTTAAAAAAAACCCCTTTGGGTCTAAATATAACTGTAGGGATTCTTACGCTTCTCACAACGGCTGCCAAACCATCCGCTGGCACAGGAACATCCGTACGGGTCTGGTAGGCAGAAACGCAGGCCCTTGCAGTTCATAGTGGAGCCACATGACTCCTGGCAGTTTCGACCAAACATTCCTTCTCTGCAGGCTGCAAACCATCAGAGAAAGATAAATTCACCAACGTGTTTATAGAAAATTCCTTGTGTTTTACTCCATCAGGCCTGGATGGAGAACACTGACCCGTTCTGTATACCTTTGTGTTATGACTGCCCTTTGCAGTTGCTTTTATATCATGCTGAGTGAACTGACAATATATGACATATGAAATATCACAACCCAAACACTGCGATCATGTATATTTTTCTTATGACTCTCAGTTACATGCAGTCACTCACATACTGTATAGCTCCATGCTAATATTCCAGTTGACTGCAGCTGTGAGACTGCCTCAGGTTTAGTGTATCTAGTAGCAAGTTGGCAAGAGTAAAGTGAAGTCGAGTTTTGAGTACACAAACATAAGATATCACTGTTTTTTGACACATATTCACAATAACCCTAACCCTGACCTGCTAATCTTAGAAAAAAAAACAGAGCAACTCCATTGCTCTGGGAATCTGGGTGTGGAGCGCACTACTAATCACACCAATTAATTTTGTCATTTCATCTGATATGAAACCAAAATCTGTCCCTGATGCATGCTAATTATCTGCTTCTACGCTCCCACATGTCGACAATTAAATTATTGTGCGTTTAAAACACAATTAATCATTTAAATTAATTTATTGTTTGAGTAAGTGTTTAAACTTACCATAAGCCATTTACTTTGGTTCAGATTAAACTCTTTTTTATAAATCAGAAAACAAAACAAACCAATGATTCAATCACTGGCATCTATAAAACTCTATCAGTAAGGGTGCTGTTCAACCCAAATTTGGTTGAACAGCAACAACGATAGCAGCGACAACAATACTATTACTGGGGGAACAGTAATAAAAGTATGTCGCAATAAAGCCACACAACGAAGTCTGTCTATTAGGGACAAAAATCCCATGTAAAAAAAAAAATCAAATAAAAAATAATACTTTCCTAACCAAAAAAAAGCGGGTTGATAGTTCCACAGATATTTTATGAAATGCTTGACATTTGTGTAGTGGCTCATTTAAACCAGATGTGAACTTTTTGCTTTATTGTATCCAGTGTCTTATTTCTCTTACGTTTATTCCAGCTACACTGCATAAGGTAAATATTCTTGACATGTGAGGACATGGCATTTAATACAAACCTGTTTCACAGCGTGTTCCCATAAAACCTGGAGGACAGATACAGTCTCCATCTGCATCATGACACATGCCACCATTGAGACACTCAGGACAGGCTTTATCACAGATAGGACCCCACTTCTTACTGGGACATGCTGTACAGAAACACAAATGTCTTTCTTCAGCTATTGTACCTTTTCTAATGATAGAAAGCTTCTTGAAACGAGTTAGAGCGTGTGGTTGTGTCAAACCTCGGACAATCAGCCTCATCCAGGCTCCATGCAGGGGGCTGTCGCCCACATAGCAGGCACTGTAGATGCCTCCATTGGCAGAGGATACGTTCTCTATCGCCAGTAAAGCAGTGTTATTCACCATGTCGTTATAGTGGGTCATGTAGTAGTAATTTCCTGAAAGGAAAGGAAAAAACAATCAGCACCTTATCAGTAGCAATAGAGTTAAAAACAATGTAAAAAGTAATATTTTACTAACCATATACTGAATAGAACGTACACACACACATATATATATATATTGTAACATTTAACGCTGTGAATCTTTCAATTTGAGCCTGCTCACCGTTGTATTTCCAGGTCACATCTCTCTTCTGGGAGCTGAGGAGCTCCATGCTGAGGTGAACAGTTTCTCCGTTGTTAACAGTCAGTGTGAGGTGACTTGGAATAAAATTAGCTGCAACAATCATCAAATAACATATTATTCTATAGTAAATATATATATATATATAAATTAATATAATAAGTGTAATTCAGGAATCGAGAGCTGGCTGGAAGAAGAAGTGAGAACCCACCTGTGACACAGTTGTTGATCATTGTGACCTTTTCTTTTGGGGAATCCTCTTGTGTGGGTTTACAGTAGAAGACACCAATGTGTTCCAGATCACCAAAATCTTTAGCTACCACCTCTTTGTTCTTGGATTTGTGCACTTTGAATTTAGAGTGTTTGGGTAATTGGAGAATTTTACCGTCCCTCTCGATGCCCAGCTGGAGGCTGCGCTCTCCATGGAGACATGAAATATTGAAGTGATTGACGTTGGTGACCTCTGCTGTAGAGAACATGGTCAAGTCCATCACAGATTCTAGGGGGGAAAACCGTTTCACCAATGAGTGACTCTAACAGACATCAATTTAGTAGTAAATTAGTAAAAAAAAAAAAAGAAACAAAAGAAAAAGATGTTTGGTTCCTTTCTAAAGTACTTTTTACATTTGTGTATCCAAAGTTGTTTGTCGTTTGGTTCCTTTCTAAAGTACTTTTTAAATTTGTGTATTCAGTGGTTTGTTATAAATGTTATTACAGTCGTTTCAATAACATGTTTTTTAATCATGTATTAGTTTATTATAAGAATTTCAGTTTTCTCAACATTCCCCTATCCATGGTATTTAGGTTCAGATCCAATAAACAAAGGGAGGAAACAAGGATGAGCCATATCCCCCCTGAGGATCTAAAGGTTTCTAAAGGGCACAAAACCCCTTAAAATACCACAATAAACTAAACGTGTGGCCTACTGTTGAAATAATATGACGATAATTCGATATAGACTCGGTTAAAACTCTTTCTTTTTAGTGTAGATCGTATTTCTTATATTTTTTGCTCCAGTAAACATCCACCACAGCCGACTCGTAAAAACGCTCCTTCTTACCTGACAAACCAGAGAAACACAACAAAAACACACAGAGAAAAATCCTCATGGCGCAAATAATCCACAGTGAGAGAGTGAGAAGAAGGTTCTGGTCGGAACTCGTCCAACTGTCAGCTGTTTGGATTTAGAGCCTCGCATCCAAGACGGTGACGCTGCACCACCACGAGCCGTGCGCCTTTTTACGCATAACTTTATCCCAATCTGCGCTACAGGTGGAAGTGATTTGAGTAGTAATACTTCAACTTCTACAGTACTGGTTCAAATCAGACTGCGTTCGGTTTGCTGTAAAGTTCTCTCCCCCTCTGCCTCTCTCTCCCTCCCTCTCTGTCGTGTGTGTGTGTGTGTGTGTGTGTGTCATGAAAAGGAAGGACGAGCGTCATCAGACAGCGGAGGACTGCTGGCGCTTCAAACCTCCCTGATACGATAATGTATTTATGAGTTTCAACTGAGTCACTTGTATTGTTCCCTTACGACCCACCCTCTTTGATCATCTGTGCAGAATTTGGCAAATGGAAGAGTCATGGACTGATTAAAAACTCTAGTTCTTTTTTTCTTCATCAAAATGCTCAAAATATCAATACAAGTGCCCTGGAACATGCAGATGACATACAAACACAAGGTTCTATACAAGCCTCGGACCATCCTTACGTGACTCTTCAAGTCAATACGTGGTGCTAGACTTCTCAGAAATTTGATTTAAGCCTTTTAAGTCTTAATATAAAACAGTTGAAGCTTAAATCTTAGATATAATGACACTTGTCAGGGCTGTCTGGACTTGGACACCTTTTGATGCCCTAGAATATTTGGAATGGACATCTTGGTGTGGTTTGTTTTTGGGGGGGGGGGGGGGGGGCAGGTCCCATTTAGTAACAGTGGCTGGTACATATATTAGGTGTCCTCTAGGAAACATTTCATGTTGCACTGCATTTGTAATGATATTCTGAGCATAATATGAAGAAAAAACATCCAACAGATCACCTCTCACTCTCAGTTCCTCTTCTAAGAACTGGACTGCATTTACAGTCAACAAGATAAATAAGAAAAAAAATCGTTTTATGTTTGACCACATGTTCTCGTGGTCTACCAATGGCAGGACTTTTTTACCGGAGTAATAAGTCATGAAAAGCCCAAACCTCTCCTTTAACTGCTAGAATTGGGCCAAACTAAGAATGTATTACATCAAAACAATATTTCTTCATGATTAATGTGACTTAATCCCACACAGGCCAGAAAAAACACTTGACGTTGCCTTGCATTGCAGCCCCTTGTGCATGCAGAGACACCATGCAACAGCAGCTGGTGTCATGTTTTGCCAAATGCAACAGCTTTGTTCTCTCACTTTAGTGAGTTGTTCACAATCCCTGCAGCTCTGCCTCTCTGTTTCCATCACTCAGCTTCAGGAAATGATGAACAATATGCATGTTGTGTCTATTTCTTCTATTTCTTCGGCCCCAGCCCTGAAAAACACGCTGCCGCGTTTGATTTTATAAAAGTCCATTTGGAAACGAGCGCACGCGCCATTTCACATTCTCCACGCAACAGAACCGTTGGACTGATTTCATGTTTTCTTTGCATTTCCTTGTGGCTTCACACACAGTCAATTTAAAGTTGGCTGGACTTTCTATTGTTCCACACTTCCTGTTTTTAATCTCAGGATCTTGCATGGGTTTTCTTGAGTCTAAAGCGAGTAGACATGAATGCTGGGCTTTAACACAACAGAAACAACGAGCCTGTGTGTAACCCCTTCTAAAAATCATGTAACAATGTATTTATGTTGGAAATACATTTAAAAGAATGTCATATTCACCCTATCATGTAGACGTTGTTTAGGTTCTTAGAAACTCACTGAACCGGTCAGATCATCTGATGACTGCTAGACAACACAACATCAGCTGAACATGAGAAGGAACTTTTAATCCAGAATTTTCTCTATGTCAGGAAGAAGAAAAAAACCAGACATATAAATAACATATGAAACACATCATCAGCACAACGCATAAAATCACAGCTGAGGGTCTCATGTTTGGTCTCCGTATCACAGTGAGCTGCAGCACATCAGTGTGTGTTGGAAGACCTTCGTAGAGTGTACAGTACTGTATATTTACCAATTACTATGGTGTAATTGTACGTACTAAAGCGGTTTTATTTTGATTGTTGCAGAATTTGAAGATATCCCCCCCCCCACCCCCCTGCACCCCGCACCTCGAAGATAATGATGATGAGAGCTGTGGCAGACGAGCAGAGACAGTGACAGCAGAAAGTTTGGTGGAGTCTCCAAAGGAAGCCAAAGAGGAAGAGCACGAAATGCTGGATCAACAAAGTTCTTCCAGGCCTCTGGCTGCACTTAAGCTGTTAACACCAGAGGTTAGTGCCTGTTATGTGAATGCATATGTGCAAGGACATACTGTATGTATGTGACTGTGCATTTGAGTGAGAGGAAAGTACTTCTGATTGTGCAACAGAAGTGAAATTCACCTTTTTTATCAGGGGATTTTCTTTTCTGTAAAATATGCCGTTGGATCGTGTTCAGGGCAGTTTTATCAGTTTATTGCAAAATACCTTGTTTTGCTCCATCGCTGAGCTGACACAGTTCTTTTAAGTGAAAGTGAAGACTTATAAACACAAGATTATCTTCATGTGACTGAGAGTGTAACTCGATTCCAAGTGCACGACTGCAACAATTTAGAGGAGAAGAAGCAGATCAGTTTAGACTTGAAGTCCCAGATAGTAATTATTAACAAAGATGGACATTTAATTCCTGTTATGAAGTCATGCTTGTTTTCCCTTCAGGACAATTCACCGTAGCTCTAATCTGTGGCGTTCTTTAAATATCACATAAACTACAGACAAACAAGGCAGAAGATTGAGAGTTAACAAAAAATCTTTGATTCGTGTCTGTACCCTGCTGTACCATAACTACCTCTTCTTTCAAATTCACTATTTATCACTGTCGATGCCACATGTCATCCTCCTGCAGTACTGTCATCTGCTACTACCTGTTTTGGTAAATGTCTACATCTAAACTTTTTTGTGTAAATCTGTCAGATCTGGGCCACAAACTGGCCACAGCATCAACACACACCTGCATAAAAAGGAGTAAAAAGGAGTAAAAAGGAGTCTTACAACAACCATAAATGAAATGAATGTTATTTGACTTCTAGATTAAAGTTCATCCAAAACACAGCAAGTTGATTTAAATCATCCATTTAAAATATTTGGGTCATATTCATCATCTTGTATCTGGGCCACTTTGCCCAGTACGGCCCAACTCTGCATAGTACTGGGGTAGTTTGGATTTATTATTTTAAAATATTTAATAGTTTTATTTTTGCTGGTTCTTGTTACGTCCTGACCTGGGTGTACACAGGTACTGTCTGTAATCCCTTCAGAATACTGCCTGCCATTTCCTGTCTGTGTGTGTGAGAGAGTGTGTGACACTGAGAGAAAGAAGAAGAAGAAAAGAGCTGAAACAAAGGAGTCATTATTGATCCCAGTAATGTTTAACTTGTATTTTTCTTACAGTTTGTCTACACTTTTTAAAACCTCTGTGTATTTGACTTGTTCTCTGCAGAGCTCATTAATCATGTGCAGAGTTTTCTTAGAGCATAAATCAACAACATATCTCAATATTTATTTAAAACTAGAAAAAAGGAAAGGAAAACTTTCCTTTAAAAAAAGTGAATGATTCATTACTTCACTGCACTTAATTAATTCCATTAACATTTAAGTCAATTTAATTCCTATGTTGTGATATCTTCAAATTCATCTGCAGCAATACATTATACCAACAGCCAATATTTCAATGCTGTGACCACATCCTGAGAAGCCACTTCACTGACACCTGAGTTCTGTTTTAAGAGCTGAATGACCAGCGGTCGTGTTGTAGTGGTTTCTGACACTTTGTTGTGGTTGCAGGGACGGGGCAGTGGGAAAAGTCAGGGTGTCTGGGGGTAAGAGCGGCAGCAGAGGAGGGAGGAAGGAGGTCTTTGGGTCTTTGTGAGAAAGTTTGTATTTAATTCCCGTTTCCCCTCATTGTGTAGATGCTGGTCCGGCTCCACACTCACTGATCCTGCTGGGCTCCAGGAGCTCACACATGTCGGACTCTCAGTGTGACTAACTGACGCAGTTTTTGTACAAATGCCTCACCTTAAATTCTCAGCATGTTCGTCTACAGAGACTGAAACAAAGACTGAAGCAGTCACCGTTCTGTTGGTTTGAACAAAACGTTTAGTTGTTACTCAGTTCTACCTGTGGTTTTACTGATAATCTGTCATCAGAATTGGACAACAAAACCAAAGTATTCAGAATCCTTTGGATTTTAGCTTTGATATTATTTGTCTGGTTATGGATTTATATGGTAAATTATTGCTAACTATGTGATTAGGCCCAAAGTTGAGAGTGAACAAATTTAGTCCAAGAACCTGAACATTAAACAAAAATGCTAATAGATGGATACTAAAATTAGCCAAGAAATAACATAGCTAAGTTCTAACCTCTGCCTAATCATTAAGTCCAACGGGGGCTAAGTGCTAAATGTCTACATTTTAGACATAAATAGTTAAAACAAGCCAAGAAATACAGGGAAAAACACAATTATCTAAAGCCCTGTAGGATTGGGCTGTTAGCAAAGTCAAAAACAGCTAATATTATAGCTTTATAGCGTTCCCGGTAGATGAACAGTATTAGCACAGGTATTGACTAATAAATTCAGGTCGAGGTGGAAATCAATATTTTCTTCATGTTGTAATGATAAAGCCAGACTAATGGACAGAGTTTAATCCAGACTGGCCTTGTGTTCGGGAACACTTCGTCAATAGAATAGAATTTCATTGATATATGATTATAAAAATGACTGCTATAAAAGTGAACACTGTCATTTATAATTGATGGTGGGTCATTTATTTTGTTTATGCTCTGATGTTAAGTCTTAGACGAGACAGTCTTAAAAATGTCAATTGTAGAAACCTTTTTGGTCTTCTGTTGAATGTTTTTGTCTGTTCTGTCCAAGGATAAAAAAGTGTGCAGCGTGTACAGTATGTTGTTTGCTGATGGTGGCGTTAGGGTATAAATAAACAGGCCCATAAAAAACCGAGGAAATGGTTTGGGACACTCACCCAGCTCCTCAGTCGTAGGCTAGGTGGACATGAATGTGTTCACATCCCTTTGTCACTTGTCACTTCCCTTTTTCTCCCACATTTCCTGTCACTTTCCTCTGTGGGTTTCACTGACAAGAACAGCTGCCATTCCAGAAGCCTTCAGCTCAGATATTAGGGTACTGTCATTACTTATCCTACAGGTTTCATACACAATCTACAAGCATTT